CTCACAAAAGTTACAAGGTTAAAATAAGTAAATTATGGCCGGCGCCATGGCTCACTAGGCTAATCCTCCGCCTTGTGGCGCCAGCACACCGGGTTCTAGTCCCGGTCAGGGCGCCAGATTCTGTCCCGGTTGCCCCTCTTCCAGGCCAGCTCTCTGCTGTGGCCAGGGAGTGCAGTGGAGGATGGCCCAAGTGCTTGGGCCCTGCACCCCATGGGAGACCAGGAGAAGCACCTGGCTCCTGCTATCGGATCAGCATGGTGCGCCGGCCGCAGTGCGCTGGCCGTGGCAGCCATTGGAGGGTGAACCAACGGCAAAAAGGAAGACCTTTCTCTCTGTCTCTCTCTCTCACTGTCCACTCTGCCTGTCAAAAAAAAAAAATAAGTAAATTAAATAACTTGCCTCTAAAACCAGGATATTAATAAACAAAAAGAGCTGTGGGAAGGAAGAAGAGGTGATGGGGGGACAAGTGCACACTCCTCTGAGCCCCCGGGCAGTACTGTCCGTGGTCCCTGAGGGTCCCCTCTCTGCGACACTGCAGGAGTCTAGCTCCCCCCACCCAGATTAAGAAGCAGGCTTGGGGGCCTGACAGGGCTTGTGGGTGTTCCCAGAGCCAGGCCGCAGCTGTAGCGGATGTGTGCGCCAGGCTGTGGGGACCCTGACTGGGCACTGGGAAGACTTCCCAGAGACCCCCTGTTTCCCAGCCGGGGCAGTGAAGAGGGCATCCTGCTGCACCTGCCAAGATGACAGCAGGCCTGAGCCCTGGGGAGCAACAGCAAGCAAAGGTGCAGGCAAGGAGCAGAAAAGCCCACGTGCCCCCTGGGACCTGGGCAGCCAAGAGCAATATAGGAGGGTGCAGTCCCCAGCACTGGAATGGAGGGACAAGCGGGGGTCCCCGTGAGAAGGGCTGTGACCCGCAATTGCGGCCCGACCTCACCCTCTTCCCTTCCTCCTTCAGGTTTCCAGCCAGGTAGGGAGCCCGCTGCCCAGGTCGGCTCCTGGGGGCTAGGGCGGAATGGAGAACAGCAGGGGGGTGAGGGGGGGCTGGGGACAATCAGAGGATGAGGCTTCCTCTGCCCGATAAGCGATAAGCGACACCAGGGGTGACACCGCCCCCTCCCAGAGCCAGGGGCCGACCTCCCTGATGGCCAGCCCTGGTCTTGCTAAGATTCCTTGAAAGATCCTGCCAGGAGGCCTAAAAGCATCCCTCTAGGCTGGCCAGGGAGGGACGTGCAGTCCATTTTACATATGAAGAAGTTGAGGCCCGTGGAGAGCCTCCCTAAAGAGCGCAGTTAGGGAAATCACTAGAAAGAGAAGGCGGACGTTCATCCATCACTCTGGGCTCCAGCTGGCATTCATTAGTTCACCCATTCATTCATTCATTCAGCAGCTACCACCTTCTCTGCAGAGCACCTGCCACGTCCCAGCCTGCACATGGGACAAAAAGCCACAGGCGACGTATATATATATATATATATACGTATATATATATATATATATATGTTTTTACCCTCCCACGATGCTCCACCCAGGGTTTCAATTATAAATAGCCATGATGGCTGACATTTATTCGGTGTTTGCTGTCTGCCAGGGACTCTGCAAGGCCATCTCTGTATTCCCCACAACAGCTCTCCGAGGGCTGGATGACTGGCATTGTCTCCAGGAAACTCAGGCTTAGGGAGATTAAGGCACTTGTCCAGAGTCCCCCAGCTGGTAGGGGATGGGACGGAGCTCCGAACCCAGGTCTTGCCTGATTGCAGGAGCAAGTACTTCTCCTCTGCGTAGCATCACGGAAGTTCAGGCTAGGGGCCCATCCGCCACCCAGGTGCAGCCGGCGGGCTGGCTTTCATTTTTAATTATGCCAGCTCTCAAAACCTGAGAGATCTCCTGTCTCAGAATCCGCATTTGCTTATTTTTCTTTCCCAGGTAGCCCGAGATTTGGCCACACAGGGCCAGGATTTCCCTCTTGGCCCAGCCACCTGCACAGGGACATGGCTCACCTGTCTGCCCAGGTGGCTACCTCTGTGGGCCTCTCTGGGCTGCCTCTTAAATGCTTGCTATGGGAATGAATGTGCTCTGGTTGGGGACTCGGCATTTCCATTCCCGGACAGGCAGCTCTGCCTCTCCTCTCAGCCAGATGCCCTGGGAGTCCCACAGGCAGCTAATAACACACCATCCTTCTGCCCCCACGGGCTCCGACCCCAGCCATGGGCCACAAAAGGCATCCACACAACACCAGGAAAAGGCCCAACCGAGAGAGCCCGGCTCCGAATGCAGCCATGGCAACGCCATTGAAGGCAGATAAAACACTTTCAACAATATCACCTTTTATCTTGGCTTTGTGGGCCAAGGGAATAAAAGACAGTTGCCAAACACAAATTAATGTGTAATTATTTTCCTTGCCTGAATCATTTTCTTTCATGTGTCAGAGCTTGCTGAGCAAATAGCACCACACCTTGGACTTGAATTGTGGTAATCAGGGCTCGGAGCCACAAGAAAGTCTTTGCTAATGCCTCCCTTAGCGCTAACTTGCGAGTAGAAGGAATCAAGGTTTTGGGTTTTTTTGTGTGTTTTTTTTTTTCCTTCCCTTTTCTCTTCTTTTTCAAGGAAAGAAATTTGTGCTGGGGGAAATCTCCAGGCTGCTGCGACCGACGTCATCCGTGCTTGGCCACTGGCCCGTGCCCCACCCCCACCCCTTGGACAGGCGACTTCACAGGCTAATAGCTCTGCTGTTCTCTCTGACTCAGTCGGTGACTAACGATTCCCTGAGTCGACGTAAGACCACCTCTCTTTGCACTGATGCCATAAAGGTACCTGTGTTGTATTGTCTATCTGCCGAGACGGCCTGGAAGTAGCAGTGACGGTGAGGGGAAGAGGGAAGCCAGGTTCCCTGTGGCCCCTCTGATCCTCTGAGCCTGTGCGTCTCTCTGTTCTCCCCCATCTGGACAGACAGCAGGCAACACTCCCAGGCGCACAGGCTCACACACCAGAAACCGCATCTCCCCTTCTGGACAAATGGCCTCCCTTTTGCTGCCAGGGATGACAGCAGGCAGAGACAACCATGGAGCAGCAAAACCCCCAGGGGGGTTCTCCATCCCTCACCCCTGCACGGGACCACATCACCCAGCAGCAGCCCAGCCCTGGGCACCCCCTGGGCTCCTTGGGCCAGAGGAAGGCTATGGGGATAATGACTTTGCTTAAAGGCACCCCTGGATCCCTCTGGTGCTACAGTTTGGAACGCAAGGCAGAAAGAGCTCCTGACTCTAGGATCTTTTTATCCTGCCTTTTCCGGTGTTCTTCATTCTGATGGGTCCAGGATGCAACAGTTATTATTAACCCAACTGACACGCGCCACTGTCTGGTAACTAAAGGAACACAACACGGATATTCTTTAAAAAAAAAAAAAAAGATTTATTTATCTGTTTGAAAGGCAGAGGGAGGAGAGGCGGAGGCAGAGAGAGAGAGAGAGAGAGAGAGGTCTTCCATCGCTGGTTCATTCTCCAAATGACCACAATGGCCAGAACTGCACCAATCTGAAGCCAGGAGCTTCTTCCAGGTCCCCCATGTGGGTGCAGGGGCCCAAGGACTTGGGCCATCTTCCACTGCTTTCCCAGGCCATAGCAGAGAGCTGGATTGGAAGTGGAGCAGCTGGGACTAGAACCAGCGCCCATATGGGATGCTGGCTCTGCAGGCCAGGGCTTTAATCCACTGCACCACAGCACTGGCCCTTATCCCATTGACTTTTAAAATGTCTTGTGTATTGATTTTATATATTTAAACTGTAGAGAGACAGAGGGAGAAAGACAGTGACCACTCAAGTGCCCTCTGGTTCACTCCCCAGATGTCTGCAACAAGCAGGGCAGGGCCAGAGGCTCCTTTAAAAGACTTTTTTCTTACTTATTCATTTTCTTTTTGTTTTAAAGCAGGGTTGGGAGAAGAGTTTTCTAACCACAAGTTCACTCCCCAAATGCCCACAGCATCTGAGACTAAGCCAGCCTGAAGCGAGGAGCCCAGTACTCAATCCAGGTCTCCCACACGGCTGGCAGGGACCTAAGTACTTGAGTTGTCATCCCCTGCCTCCTGGGGTGCATTGACAGGAAGCTGGAATAGAGCCAGGCACCTCATTATGGGATGCAGAGCTCTCAAGAGGTGTCTTAACCCCCAGGCCTAATGCCGTGCCCAGGAATGCATGTATTCAATAATTTTGGAGTCCTAGTCCAAGAACTGGGGATACCAAAGAGAAAGAGACTCAACGCCCGCTCTCAAGAGAGAAGACCAGAGGGAGACACGGTGGGGACGCTGCAGGGGCCTTGAGCAGGGAGGAGCCTGAGCCAGCCCCGGCAGCAGTGTTGAGCTGGGCAGCTGGCTCGGGGGCCCAGTCCCGCCACGACACTGTAGTTCACAGCCATGACTATAAGAAAGTCCAACAGCCAAGACCGCCCCAGAACCTCGCTTACCCAATGACAAGAGAAACCCTGCTAATACTCTCTGAACACCAGGGGACTGGCTCTTCAGTGTGGGGGGCAGGTGCTCATGACGTCATGACGGCAGAGAGAACACCTAAAGTCCAAGCTGCATAGTTAGCATTTTCCCCATCACTTCCTTGGGCCTAGATTGTGCACACGCTGACCACCTATGCCGTGACGTGTAGTACTTGCCCATCATGGTGTAAACACTGCATGGTGGCGGATTTCGCAGCTAGCCCGTACCACGCCACCAAGAGGCCCAGGGCCACACCGTCAACTCAAAACCTCCTCCTCCATACACATGCCCTGAATGTAAACAACCCTAAGAGCATTGGATAATAGTAAAATGTAATAAAATAATTAGGAAGCGATGAGTTTTGAGTGTTTACTACCTTTGTTTTTAATATAATTTCTTTAATTATAAGTTTTTGTAATTTAATCTTTAATAATCGCTGTATTTAACAACAAGCTTGCAGAAGCCCCGGCATTTTAATAACTGGCTCTCGCAGGCCAGTAAGGGCAGGCTCTGGCACATTCCAGAGCCGAGCCCGGTGTGCGAGGCCAGGGAGATCTTCTCAAAGGCGATCCCTGAGCCAAGGGCAAGCGCCAGACTGTGCAGGAGACGGTGGGCTCCCAAACGACTGCTGGGGGTTCAAATTCCAGCTCTGCCTTCTCTGCCCCTGTGACCTCACTGCTGGCTGATCTGGCAATCTGCGCCCCGGCTTCCTAGTCCTGGAAATGGGTATAATAATGCCTGCATTGCGGGCTATCTGTGGAAGAAGCGGCTGGCCTCTGCCAGGGGCTCACACGTACTCTGAATGCAGGACAGGTAGGAGTCCAGGGAAGGTGGAGGGACATGGAGAACATTCGAGTCGGGGTGGGCTGGTGCGCCGAGGCAGACAGAGAGACAGCCAGGGGCTTCTGGGACCTGCCGACTGTTCCCTAGACACAACATCCACGAACATGTAGATAAAGGGGGAACAATAGGCAGAGGCCTTGAATGCCGATCTCAAGAACGTCCCCTTGACCATGGACGCTGGTCCCTAACCCAAGGGTGGAGGTCTGCCTGTGCTAGTTTCGCCCGCTGTGAAATGGAGCTCATGCAGCTCAGACCAACCCCCCCGGGATGTCGATGACAAGGAAAAGCTACTGCATGAAAAGTATTCAGCACACAGCCTGGCAAGTGGTCCAAATAGAAGTTAGTTCTCACCATTACTCTTCCCAGGGCCCTGGTGGGTGCTGGGGACTGACAAGAGGTCCACAGAGCTTTGCCTGGCTGCCTGGGCAGCCTCACAGGGAAGCAAAGATCTTCTCCCACCCCACCGCCCTGTGCCCCTGGCGTGCGGCTCAGACACTCAGGTGGAGCTGAGAAGAAGGCTGGGAGGGAGCCCCAGGCCAGCGAGCATCCGTCTGCAGCTGCACAGGGTCAGGCCCAGCAGCTCTGTCCAGGTCCAGTGCTGGCGGGGCAGCGGGGGGGGGGTCAGCCCCTTGGGGAGCACTCTCATTAAGCTGATGTAAAGGTTCCAGCCAGCACCCTGCTGCTTCTGAGATGCCCAGGGTGCCCTGCGGCTCTATCACAGCTGCCCAAAGACATGCCCCTGACGTGACCATTGCTTCCCCGGGCTGGGTGGACTTGGCATTAGCCTGAGTCGACGTAAACCAAGGGCACCGGAGAGTCAGCACGATCTTCTGGATAATTTAGGGCCCGAAACGCTGTTGCTGGGGAAACAGCCGGGGACATTTGCTTATTTGCTCTGCGTGAAATGACCACTTGGCCTGTTTACACAGAGCTATTCAGAGCTCCGCCGTTTCTCTGGCCTGAGCAGACACAGACACAAACTTGCTGTTGCCGATTTAATGAAAGACCTACTGTGTGCCCGGGGCTTTCCCAAGGTGAGTCTCACACCACCACCCAGAGTTACAAGAGCTGTTTTCAAAGAAGGCTGGTGAGTAGAAGGAAGATGTGTTCCTGCCTCGTTGGCCTCTTGGATTAACTCCTTGGATCCAGCCTTGTTGGAGCTGTCTAAGAGATAAGGAAAGTGGGGCGCAGGGGAGGTGACTGAGTGACAGCCGCGACTATATGTGCTAAGCGCTTGGGACTTGAAGAGGTTTGGCGTGCATTTGCCCATTCCTGCTTTGCCGAAGCTGTTCCAGGCCAGGCTATGGACAGCACCGGGGTTTCACACACCAGGACTCTGAGGCTTAGATGGGTCTCAGGGAGGAAGTAGAGGAATAAGGTTTCCACCCCAGGATCTCTCCAAACTCTGTGCTTTTAGCCCAGGGCCCCAGGGCTGGGAGACAGAATTGGGGTTTGTAACTAGCTGGCTTTGGGACTGGTGTTGTGGCATAGCGGATAAAGCTGCCATCTGCAGTGCCAGCATTCCATATGGGCGTTGGTTTGAGTCCTGGCTGCTCCACTTCCCATCCAGCTCTCTGCTATGGGCTGGGAGAGCAGTGGAAGATGGCCCAAGTGCTTGAGACCCATGTGGGAGACCGAGAAGAAGCTCCTGGCTCCTGGCTTCCGGCTGGCCCAGCCTTGGCTGTTCTGGCCATTTGGAACGTGAACCAGCAGACCAAAGATCTCTTTCCTACCTCCCACGCCTTTCAAATAAATAAAATAAATCTTTTAAAAAGAAAGAAAAGAACAGAAAAATGGAACTAGCTGGCTTTGTGTCCAAGGGGCTGTGTTGGTCATGTGACCCCCACTTGCCACCACCACCACCATCTCCTGACTCAGCACACAGGTTTCCCCCTGGGTGGGCTATGGCATAAACAGCAGTGTGGGCACTGTGTGGATTCAGGTTCATCCACAGCCTCTGTGTGCCCTCGCGCCTGGTCTTGTGCATTGCTGGATTTCAACCTAGGAAACTACAGGGAAAATCGAACTCATTTTCTGTCCTGCCCCAATCTCTTCCTGTGAGTCCCCTCCCCACCCCCCACCACCATCACCACCTGAGGGGTGAGTAGAGAACGGCCCGGCCCATGTACCGGGAGCAATGGGGGAGAGAGTAGCTTCGTGCACGTTGACACAGACAGTAGCCCCATCTCGGCACTGCTGGCTGGGCTCCGAGTGGCCGGGCTACCAGCGCGGCTGTTTCTCCCTGCGGCCGCAGCCCCAGACCCCTCACGGCACATACCTCCTCCCATACAGCTGCCCCTGTCATCTGCTTTGCTTTGTCTCTCCTTTTTTTTGGTGGTGGTGGTGGAGGGGGGAGAATTGGAGCAAGTTCACCCCAATTTCAGAGAACTTGTCCAGCCTCCCGAGATAACCACAGCAAAGGGAGAGGGAGGGGGAAGGGGGAGGGGAGGGGGAAGGAGGGAGAGAGGGAGGGGAAGGAGAGGGTGAGGGGAAGGAGAGGGTGAGGGTGAGGGGGAGAGAGGGGAAGGAGAGGGAGGGGGAGAGGGGGAGGGGGAGGGGGAGGGAACCGAGGGCTGGAGGGGTGGGGTCGCGTCGCAGAGCAGGCGTGGACCACGGTGCTACATGCCCCTGGCAGACAGGGCCCTCTGTGCGCTCTCCTGGCCTCTGTGGGGTCCAGCTTTCCTCAGGAGAACATGACCAAGCAGGGCGGGAGTCCAGTTCAAGAGCAATGGCCCTGAGCGGGGAGGGCTCTGAGCTTAGAGCCCTTTGGAGTCTCAGCTCTGCTAGGGGACCTTGGGTAAATGGCTTAACCCCACGGAAGCCTCACAGCCGCCATCTAGGAGATGGGAGGACACGGGTGGGGGCTGGGTAAATCGTCCTTGACCCTCTCAAAGATGTGATGGGGATGCTCTTGTACCCAACCTATAGATGAGAAAACTGAGACATTAAATAACCTGAGAAAGTCATGTAACTAGAAAGGTGGTATCCTGTCCTAGTACATGGAGCAATTCTCTTTCTTAGGTCAGGTTCATCTGCGTGCCCTTGAGCCTGGTCTCATGCATTGCTGGCTTTCAACCTAGGAAACTACAGGGAAAATCAAACTCATTTTCTGTCCTGCCCCCATCTCTTTCTGTGAGTCCCCATCCCTCCCCGCCCACCACCACCAAGGGAGCCCTCTGCCATCCTAGCCTAGCCCCAGCCAAGGGAGACCACCAGCATCCTAGGCCGTTAAAGTTCTGCAGCTTGATAACTCGAGTCCTCTTAGCCTCAGGAGCGTCCAGCACCTGAGCCCTCCACGGTTCACTGCGAGGTAAGTGCTTCACAGAGGTCACAGAAAATGGAATTAAAAGATGTTGAGGGCCCTGCAGTACTCGCATCCCATATTGGAATCCTGGCTGCTCCACTTCTGAGCCAGCTTCTTGCTGATGCTCCTGGGAAGGCAGTGAATTACGGCCCAAGTGCGTGGGCCCCTGCTGTGCACATGGGAGATTTGGTTGGAGTTGCTGGCTCCTGGCTTCAACCTGGCCAGATCTGGCTCTTGTGGCCATTTGGGGAGTGAACCAGTGGATGGAAGATTCTCTCTCTCTCTCTTTCTCTCTCTCCCCCTCCCTCTCTCTCTCTCGCTCTGTCTCTGTTTCACTTTGCCTTTCAAATAAAAAAAAACCTTCAAAAAAAGTGAATTTTGGTGCAAAACCTTTGAACTCATACCTAGCGTTTTCATGACATGCATTTTCCATGAACTTTTTGAAGAAACCTCATGTACACTTCCAGCTTTACATTTTTTAAGTAATTTATTCATTTGAGGAGAGAGATACCAACCAAGAGCCTGTGCTCCCATCAGCTGGTTCCCTCCCCAAATGCCCACACTGCTCAAGACCGTGCCAGGCAGAGCCGGGAGCCAGGAATTCATTCCAAGTCTCCCATGGGGGTGAGCTGTCCCTGCTTCCTTGGTTCTGCATTAGCAGGAGGCAGGAAGCCGGAGCCAGGAGCCAGAGCCGGGTATTGTGCCCGTGGGCTCCACAGTGGGATGCGGGCACCTGAACCAGCCCCTTCACAGTGAACCCAAATGCTTGCCTCTCAGCCCTTTTGATTACAGTTTCACTGGGCATCTATTTTCCATGGCTGCAAGCCCTTCGAAACACCCTTTCTCATTTCCAATGGTGTTTATGGCTCAACGTTGTTTCTTTTCTTTTCTTTTTTTTTTTTTAAGATCTATTTATTTATTTGAAAGGCAAGAGTTATGGCGGGGGTTTGGGGGGGAGAGATCTTCAATCTGCTGGTTCACTCCCCAGATGGCTGCAATGGTCAGAGTTGGGCAGATCTGAAGCCAGGAGCCAGGAGCTTCTTCTGGGTCTCCCATATTAATGCAGGGCCCCAAGGACTTGGGTCATCTTCTGCTGCTTTCCAAGGCCATCAGCAGCAGCTGGATGTGAACTGGAGCAGCTGGGACTCGAACCAGCGCCCATATAGGATGCCAGCACTGTAGACAGTGGCTTAACTCATTACACCACAGTGTTGGCCCTGGCTCGACATTCTTGACATCAACAGGATTCCATGGTCCGCACGTAATGGTTGGCTCTGTCTCGCAGTTTGCTTGCTATGTCAGTTAGTTTCGTGTCACAGCTAATCACCCCTTTGGTTTTGGAGCTACTGCCAGACGTTGACGTTTCGGAGATGTAGTCTGATGAATCCTACGTCTGCATCTATTGTGAGCATCCTGGTCTTTTAGTGTCGCTTAGTACACGTCCAGCACGCTCCTCTCCTTCTTCCCTTCCCCGCACTGAGTCTGAGCCCAGCCTAGAACATTTCAGTATCGCCGCGGGGCCTCCAGGGACCTTGGAAGCAGCAGGTCTGAGAGAGACGGCTGGCCCATCCCCATGAGAACCACGGGGGGCAATCCACTCACTGTCTGGGATTTTCCCTGTTTTATCAGCAAAACTTCTCCAACGGAGAACATTTTCAAAATAGAATTAAGCCAGAAAAATACACTCTAACCCATCCATAATCCCAGCCACTCAGAGGCAATAGCTCTTATTCTTAGTGAGCTTTATTCTGGACATCCTTCTACGCATAGAAATACGTATTTAAAATATTTATTAAGTAATTCTCTATGATCTTATCTGAAGTGCTGGGGACTAGAAGTGTTTCTCCTTTTGGATACTTTTCAGATTTGGGAATATGTGCGTGTATACCTAACGAGATCCCTGGGGACGGTGCCCATGACTAAACACAAAGTTCACTTGTGTTTCATAGTCACCTAACATACGTAGGCTGAAGGCAATTGTCTGACTTATTTTTAATAATTTTGGGCAGGAAATAAAAGCTTCCCAGTGTGGCATTTTCTGCTTGTGCCACAAAATGACACTCAAAAAGTTTCAAATTCTGGAGCATGTCCCATTTCAGACTTTCAGATCAGAGACGCACTGCCGTTGTAAACTCTTCTTTCGCTTGTTGGTCATGAAGTCCAGTTGTTGTGTAGCTTAATATTGCTCTAAACACTATAAATGCCATCTAGACGATTCGGGAGAGGATGAAGAGGAAAGCAGCAACACCCAGCCGATCTCAGCAGCCTGAAGTAATCACCTCTTGCCTTGTGTTGTCTGTGCGTCTCAGGCCTCTGTGTGGGGGATAAGGTATATACACTCCCTCGCTCTGTACACATGGGCCCAGGCTTGCAAGTTTCCAATGGTTATTTTGTCTGTAACTTTATAACGTGAGCATTTCCCCATGTCAATAAATACAGCCCTGCAGCATGGTTTTTCCAAGACCGCACGATATCTCACTTGATGCACGTGCCATCTTTTGTTTAACCCTTCTCCCAGTGGTGGTCATGTAGATTGCTTCCAACTCTTTCTTCTTGCAAACAGTGCCCTGGTGAACAGCCATATGGCTGGGTCCTGGGGCCTGCTCGGTTGCTGTCCCGAAGAGAGTTTGAAGAAGCGCCAATTTGGAGCTCCGCTCCCGGGACACCCTCGTGTGCAGCTTTTCAGGAAGAGGTCGCGGAGTGTGGGATTCCCAAGCAGACTGCACCCTGCCCAGGGTGAGGACCGGAGGGCGGACCTGGAAGCACTAGCATGTTCTTCCCCTCCCGAGAAGGCCATGCTGTGCTCAGTTGTCCTCAATCTCTTCCTCTCCCTAGCATGCGGACCGTGCCCCTTGGCTCCTGTGACTCAGAGGCCAGCCACGCCGGTGCCAGCTGCACAGAGCCAACGGGGCTTCATCAAACCCCAACCTCACGCCCTGCTGAGCTTCCTAAATCCCGAGGGTTGACTCACGGCCCTTCCCACAGGCCACCCTGGGCACATGGTAGCCAGTGTCCACTGCAAGTCTCTCTTCTACCCCTGGAGAATGTCCTGGGGCATTCTGAAAGGAATCACGTTCACCCCTCAGTTACCTCCACCCCCCTAGTGCCCTCTTCTTAAGAATCCAACTCCCCATGGGAAATCTCTCTCTGTCTCTCTCTGCCTCGTACCATGCACAGCGCCCAGCTTAGTGTCTCCTCTCCCTCCTCTCAGTGTTTCTCCCAGAAGCTTCAACTGGTTCCTTGAACATTCCCATGGAACCTCGCACTGTATCCCAAACACGGCGGGAAGGTATTTCTTCCACATTAATGCAGTGTTCTCTAAAAGAACATGGCTGAAAATGTGTTTGTCTGCAGATGCTCTATACATTCCAATTTTACTTTCAAAATGAATCCATGGGGGAGCCAGCACTGTGGCATAGTGGGTAAAGCTGCCACCTGCAGTGCCGGCATCCCATACGGGCACCTGTTCTAGTCCTG